CTGCCAAATATGACCATGTCTTACATGACTTTGTATTTGCAATTCGCAAAGACAGGTATATCATCTTCTGATTGATGATACTGTTTTACTAGGCTAAAGGAACTTTCATGAAATCAGATTTGAAAGGAGAAATGGGATATTGGAGGAACCTCTCCGAAAACTGTATGCGAGCCATTGGGTTACTATTTTTTTTTTGTTGTGGAAGGGAACTTGTGAAGATCCATAAGGTTCTCTATTGCTAACTCCTCCTTGGTTCCTATGAGTCATTGGGTTGTTCGATACCTTAGCCGATTCAGTGAATATTTGATTTTTGTGTTCTGTGTTGTGGTGATGAGGAGGAGCAACATTTGCGGCGATGCATAGCAGCACTTGCTCTCCAAAAAAGAACAACAAGCACACTAATAGGCTGTCCAAGATTGTATACTTGCATGTTTTGCTCCACTTTAATGTGAGGTAATTTCAAGCTCATCTGGGGCAAAATATATAGAACACCAAATTCCCTTCCTTTCTGTTGTCATAAAGGAATCAGATTTGTTGTACAACTTTGTGGCTTCCAAGATCATTTGCTAGCCCATTGCTGTCTAGTTTCATGACTCGCTCCTTCATGTGTGTTTCACGCCTGTGTACAACCTATGGTGATATTTCCATCGCCTCCACCAGGGGCGGAGGACTCGGTAGGGCAAGGTATGGCGATTCCCTGCGAATCCCCTCCCCTAAATCGCTGCCCAGCTGTTCCTTCCGCTAATCCGCCATATAGACGAAAAACAGCCCTGAACAACGATGCGAGGAAGAAGAAACTGCGGTATGTGGTCTGCGAACCGGTATTTTGGGCCTTTGTTCTTTGGGCTGGCACATCCGTCTGTCGCGTGTGTAGGCAGTGAAAGCGTATTCTCTGGCCGCAACGACACTTCAGTTTCCTGACTAGGCGACTTTTCGTCATCCCATCTCGGTTGTCCCGTGCTTCCTCCCATCTGCGACTCAGCCCTAGGCTCCGGCGGCCGGCAGGTGGATTTGACATGCAACGCGCGGCGACTTGGCAAACAGCCAGGCAAGACGACGCCATGCCCGGCGGCACTGCAGTCTGCGCAGCACCGAAGCAGATCAGCCACCAGCAGATCATGGTGCATGCTGGGCCGTAGCGCTGCATCACGTAATCATCCCATCCGCATGAGTCATCAAAGTAAATTACTTGTTCTTTTAAATCACCGACTATTTGTTCTTTTTAAATTGTTGTTTGTTTATTTTTACTTTAATTTCTTGTTGAATTTGGTTTATTAATATGTGGACCAGTGAAATTAATTAAGCAAAGATAGATCCAAAAGTAAAGAGGAACCCGTGTAAAATTATAAACGTTTTATTTTGAATATATCTATGCTTTTTTATTTCGCCATACCTAGAATTTTTTCGGTCCTCCACCACTGGCCTCCACCTTGAGCGACATATGTTTTGATAGCACAATTTTATCTCTATTGCTATGGTTGCATGTCTCAGGATTAAAAAGAATGAGGGGTGCCAAAAAACTGTTATGGCCATGTTCTCTACTGCTACAACGGTACGGTACAGCCTGCTGCTGCCACTAATATTTCTCTTTTTTTTTTGTTGCGAACAACTTTTGCTCGTGAGATTCGGCAGGAGGGATGGTAAAGTATATCCTGTACAATTTATTAATCTGACAACATCCTTTTTTTACAAATTGAGAGATTGGTTCTATGTCCTTGTCAAGGGTCCTTTAGGATCTGGTTGTTCAAAACTTCAAATTTACTATAGTTATGAACTTATGATAGTGCCGTATCAATTCAAGAAATATCATTCGTAGGAAATATAAAGAAACGTTGGATATTATAATCTACACCTAATATTAAAGAGGCAAAATTTCTATCATATATTTTTTTTCATCCAGCCTACTTTCCCATGTTCTTTTTCTCTATCCGCCTTCGTGTTTGTTACATGTCCGCTTGTTGTTTGTGTTTTTCTCTTCTCTGTAGAGAGATGGAATTGGGCCAACAGCGTTTGTATTGCATTGCTGTGGGTATAAATACATGTACATCGCAGTTACAGAGCGCGTGCACGCACGTGGGAGCGCGCGACGCAGGTCGCTAATGCGCCGTGTACACCGCGCCTGACCACTAACAAAACTGAGTGCCTCAACGCCCCCCCCCCCCCCCCCCGACCCACCCCCCACCACACCCACACACAGTCTATGGGGTAGTCGCTATGGGTACAACGCATAGAGTGGAGCAGAACGCCTCGAATTCGAAATCAGCAAGCCCTTGGTCGTCACTTCGGCGTGCTGCTCACCGGTGGGCACGTGAAGAACGCGGTTCGCCGACCTGAACGCATTCTCGGACGAAGTGGATGTCCAGCTCAATGTGCTTGGTTCGCTTGTGGTGCACCGGGTTCGCGGACATGTAGACGGCCGAGACATTATCGCAGCACGCGACGGTCGCCTTGGAGATCCCACAGCCAAGCTCGCCGCAAAGTTGTCGCAGCCATATGCACTCGGCGACGGCGTTGGCGACGGTGCGGTATTCAGCTTCTGCGCTGGAGCGAGACCGTCGGTTGCCTCTTGGACGACCAGGAGATGAGGGCATTCCCCAAGAATACGCAGAAGCTGGATGTCGAGCGTCGTATGTCCGGGCAGTCGGCCCAGTCGGCGTCGGAGTAGGCAGTGATGGCGAGATCCGCCGAGGCTCGGAGGTGGAGACCGAGGTGACTGGTGCCGCGGACGTATCGAAGAATGCGCTTGAGCAGTGCCTGGTGAGGTCCGCGTGGATCGTGCATATGGAGGCACGCTTGCTGGACAGCGAACGCAAGATCCGGGCGCATGACATCGAGGTATTGCAGGGCGCCGGCCAGACTGCGATATGCCTTGGCGTCGTCAATCTTGGGGCCGTCGGCTGAAAGCTTCCCTTTGGCGTCGATGGGGGTCATCGCAGCCTTGCAGTTCGCCATCCCAGCGCGCTCAAGGATGTCTTCAGCGTACCGGTGTTGGGACAGGTGGAAGCCGGTGGTGTCGCGCTTGACATCAATGCCGAGGAAGAAGCTGAGCTCGCCGAGATATTTGACGGCGAACTCGCGGCGCAGACGGTCGACGATTTGCTGGAGCAGTGCCGTGCCGGAGCCGTTGAGCACAGTGTCGTCGACGTAGAGCAGTAAGTAGGCGACGGCGTGGCCGCGGCGCAGCACGAACAGCGACGAGTCTGAACGAGTCGGTGTGAAGCCGAGGCCGATGACGAAGGTGGCGAAGCGGTTGAACCATGCTCGAGGTGCTTGATGGAGACCATAGAGCGATTTGTCAAGGAGACAGACCGCATCAGGCTGCGACGCATCGACGAACCCGGGAGGTTGCTGACAAAGCACGTGTTCGTCCAGATGGCCATGGAGGAAGGCATTGGAGACATCGAGCTGCCGAGTAGGCCATCGTCGAGAAGCCGTGATCGTGAGCACCGAGCTGATAGTGGCCAGCTTGACCACCGGCGTGAATGTTTCCCCAAAATCAACACCGGCGCGCTGAGTGAATCCGCGAACGACCCATCATGCCTTGTAGCGCTCGAGAGAGCCTTTGGGGTTGAGTTTGTGCTTAAACACCCACTTGCCGGAAATGACATGAGCCCCGAGTGGACGATCAACCAAGCGCCAGGTACGGTTGGACTGGAGGGTGCGGAACTCGTGTTCCATGGCGGCATGCCAGTTCGGATCCTGGAGAGTGACACGGACAGAAGAAAGCACTGGAGAAATGGGTTCGCGCGGCGAGGTGGCCTCAGTAGCAAGAGCATATTGGGGGTTAGGTTTATGATGGCACAGCGAGCGAAGGAGGGGAAGAACTGCCCGCTGATCCCGTGGCCGAGATAGGTGACGTCGAGGCCAGGTGCGCAGCAGACGGCGCGACAGACGGGGATTGTTCCGAGGTGGAAGACGCGGTCGGCTGATCGCCAAAGGCCAGAGAAGCATCGTCTGATGCCGTGGAGGCCGGAGAAGCATCATTTGCTGTCTGGAGGACGACAACCTCTGTTGTCGGATGATGAACAGTTGTTGGAGCCGGCGCGGACACAGCGGGCGCGTTTCCAAAGGGGAAGGTGTGCTCATCGAAAACGACTTGCTTGGAGGTGATGACACGCCAGGTCGAGAGATCCAATCAGCGGTAACCGCGATGATGCGCGGGGTATCCCAAGAGGACATAGGTGGATGATCAGGCGCTGAGTTTGTGTGTAGCTGTGGTTGCTTGATTGGGAAAACAGAGACAGCCAAAGACTCTGAGATGATCATAGGTTGGGGGAGCACCAAGCAAGCGTTGAAAAGGAGTAAGGGGCTCACTGGTTTGGCATGGGTGAAGATTAAGGGGCTCACTGGTAACACCAGCCGCCTCTACAAATCGATTTGTAACGGCGGGGTGGGAACCACCCCTACAAATGCATGATTTGTAGAGACGGTATGATAAGGGCGGCTGGCCGAGCTGCCTCTACAAACCATCGCTAGCCGCCCCTACAAATGCTTATTGTAGTAGTGTCCATGGCCTAGGGGCCGCCTGGTGGAACGCCGGAGTTCGCTTGGGTGGCGAGCATGGCCTGGTGATTCCAAATGTAGTTGGAGGGTGGCGCCGGTGGGGGAGTAGGTGCAGACATCTAGGGCGGCGGACCGGCGAAGAAAGCCTGCTGAGGAGGGGTACCGGGGCGCGGACAGAGGACGTTGGCGCCAAGCATGCGGAAGGGCATGGACTAGGCCAGGACCATGCTGGTCCATGGGTTCAACCCAGGGGTCCAAGCCGTTCCTGGAGCGCGAGGCGGCTGCCCAGAGCCATAGCCGCCGTGGGGGCCGTTGCCGCCCCCACAGCCCTTCTTGCCACGTCCACGATTCGAGTCAGAACGTGGGGTTGTGGGGGGCGTGGACCGCGAGCTGGAGCTGGAACCGCCATCGCCTTGGGAGGAGGGAGCGGAGCCGTGAGTGCCGCCGCCGCCGCTTATGACAAAGAGCCTGATCTTGTCATGCCGCCTTGTCATGCTTCATGGGTCGTATTCTCCTCCAACAGTAAGTACGAAGCGAGCCGAGAGGAAGGTGTGAGGTGGGTTCTCGGTGGCGATGACCGAACGGCGTGGCGGAACTTGGAGTTGAGGCCACGAAGCATGTTGAGCACCTGCCTGCCTCTCCGACAGGTTGCCCGAGGTCGCGCGAGCATCGGCAAGCTGTTTGAGCCGACCGGTGTAGGCGGCGATGTCCATGTCCTCCTGAACGAGACTGCAAAACTCAGCCTCGAGGTAGACGGCGTGATGCAGCTCGTTGTCGCGGAACTGCTCATGGATGGAGTTCCTGATGGTGTAGGCAGTGGAGCACGGAACACGAACGAGGGCGCGGACATCCTTGGACACCGAGTTGTAGAGCCAGCTGAGGATGCATTGGTCGCGCATCACCCACTCGCGATCACGGCGGTTCTTGGGGGTTGGCGGAGAGGAGAGGTGAGAACGGAGGCCGAACTTCCCAATGAAAGCATCGAAGAAGCAACGCCATTCGGCGTAGTTGGAATCGGCGAGGTCGAGCTCAACGGGGATGTGGGATTTGATGTTGACGGTTTGTAGGATGGCCGCCGTGGGCATGGCGACGGCGGGCGGGACATCATCGATAGAAGAGGTGTAGGTGGATTCGGAGTTGGCATCGGAGGAATTGGGGAGATCGTAGAGAGGGTTGGACGCCAGATCCATGGTGGGCAAGGGGAAGAAGGCAGAAGGTGCAGCGGAGAAGAGGGAGGCCGATTGGCGACGGCGGATCGGCGACGGTGAGCCCGGCAGCGGAGGCAATGGAAAGCGAGGCTAGGATCGAGTAACCGCGCTAGCTGATACCATGTAGAGAGATGGAGTTGGGCCAACAGCGTTTGTATTGCATTGCTGTGTGTATAAATACATGTACATCGCAGTTACAGAGCGCGTGCGCGCGTGGAGCGCGCGATGCAGGTCGCGGGCGACGTCGTGGCCACTGCGCCTGACCACTAACAAACCTGAGTGCCTCAACATTCTCGTTTTTTTGTTTCGGTTTATATCGTTCCTTTTTTTTTTTTGTTTGGCTGATTGGCTCGTTTTTTTTCCGTTTCTTCCTGTTCCAATCTGTGGTGATTGGCTCGGTTTGTGTTTTCTGATTTATTTTGTTTCCACTTAGATTTTCTCTTTGCAACTTTTCTGTTGCTCACTGTTTTTGGGTCTGATTTTTTACCTATTCTTTCGCTACAACAGTTTTGATTAGACACAAAACTGATATTCTTATTAAAATCTAGATTAGTTGATGGTCAGAATTGAAATATTAAACACTTATTGTCTAATTCGTTTAAATAAACATATCTATGTAATGTACGATAAGAGCTCTCATGTGAAAAATCGAGATAGGTTTCCCATTATAATCATGGCCAGACACACCAATCCTTGACACGTGTGCAACAAACTTCTTGTCGACTTTAGTTAGATATGAAAATTTCTTCCGTTATAATCATGGGTATGGTGGACATACCTTGACACGTGCGCAACAAACTTCTTGCCGACTTTAATTAGATATGAAAATTTACATATTTTTATGGGTCCTCAAAGAAAGTCACGGAGCTCCATATTTAAGTGTAGCACCACATAAATAGTATGAAAATTAAAGTTACGATATATTTGGGTCTAAATATTTTTGTGCTTTACAACCGGAGAAGAACTATCATATAATTTTATTTTCATTGGATTAATAGGACAATGTCAAAATATTGTCAATGTTAACTTATATTATGGATGTCATGGTCATCATATAGTAAATTAGATTTAAAATTTTATATAAAGGACAAAATGTAAATAGACATATAACATCCACTACCGAAACTGGGTCTAAGCCGAGTGCAAAAATGTTTGCAAAGTGCATTCTATCGGACACTTTCGGTAAACAAGTTTTTTGCCGAAAGTGCTATAAAATAACACTCAAAGAAAATAATTACACTTTCGGCAAAAGAGGCAAAAAAACACTCGGTAAAGTTCGACACTCGGTAAACAAGAAAAAAAAACACTCGGCAAAGAACCGCCACGTGGACAACCGTTAGTCCATGTGCCATCCGTTAGTACGCTTTGAGTGTCCGTTAGTGGAAACACTTGGCAAAAACAAATACACTCGGTAAAGAAATATGTTTGTCGAGTGTATTTGTTTGGTACTCGGTAAAGAAATATGTTTGTCGAGTGTATTTGTTTGGCACTTTCGGCAAAGAAATAAGTTTTTTTCTCTTCTGCCCTTGAAACTTTTTCTGCTCTCCACATACAACATGTGGTACTCCATGTTAAGATTTGGTATATTTTTTGACATGTTTGCTATATTTAATTAATTTATTGTATTTCAAAGAATTTTTTGGTATAAGTCAAATTTGAACCGCAAGTGATTCAAATAATAGAATAAAATAAGTAGAAAAATGATATTCATGTTATTAAGTCCATTGTGAGGCCTTACTCGAGAAATAAAAAAAAGAAATTTCGAACATCTTGTTGAGGAAACACAATCACAAATGTGTGGCGAATGATTTTAAATTCTAAAAAAACAAACGAAATCTGAAAATCACAAGATTTGTCATGATGTGATGATATCATACGTGGAGGCTGTGGTAAAAATTGAGAAGGTTTCTAACAATTTGTCACGTAAGATGTTTACAAACCAAGCATCTCACAAGAAGAATCATAGCGCTGAGAAGGATTCGGTAAGATTTAGAGTCAAAGTGACGGTTGAATTGGGGTTTGGCTTCAAAAATTTTTGTATAGGCAATAGAGAACATAGATTGTTTCATGTGAAATTTTGGTAATTTTTTGGATTTGTTTGATAATTTTAATTTATTAAGTGCAATTATAGAATTTTAATTGATATAAATTAAATTTGAGCTGTAACTGCATAAAATAATGGAATAATATTTCTAGAAAAATCAAACATATATTGTTGAGTCAATTTGACAAGGTATTTTCAAAGTACATCGGAACAAATTGAAAAAAACACAGCCTAGAAAAGAAGGAGAAGAAGGAAAATGAAAAAAATAGGTTTGCCGAGTGCCTAATATCTGGCACTCGGCAAACCGGCTCGCCCCACACACACACACACTAGTTTAGGGTTTGAAAATGAAAAAAAAACAAAATGTGTTCGCCGAGTGCTAGATCATGGGCACTCGGCAAACCTCCTGATAACCACCCTAGGCCGGCCTCACCCACACGCACACACACAGCCACCGCACGCACACACGCATCCCGCCACCGAACCTCGCCTCAAGGTCCGATCAAGGCGCCTGCCCCGCCCCGCCCCAAAGATGCTCGCTTCGCCTCCCCGGAGCCCCATCCCCAAGACGCCTGGCCGCCTCCGAGTCCTATCCCAGTGTGCCCGGTGCCCCGCCCTCGGCCACCGCCGCCCTAGGACCCCGGCGCCCTGCCCCCAGCCGCTGCCGCCCCAAGACCCCCCTACCCCCCGGTGGCCGGCGCCCTCCCCTCGGCGTCCTCTACTCGACTTGGTACTTCTCACATTTGAATGACGTCCATGCTAGTATACCGCAAGCACTGTATTGCCAAATGGCAGATACTATAAAATTTGGAGACCGAGGGTAAACATTTAGCATGACAGACAAACAATTTGTTTAGACTTTAGACGGCGCTATAGCGCCTAGATAGGGTCATTATTTTAGCATGATCATTACCTCTTTTTCTTGTCATGTAATGAGCATTAGAGTTAACGATTAGTTTCATCTTCTTACAGCCCATTAAGTTCCTAAAACATGAAAAGTTTCAGATAGAAAAATTGGATGCCCAGCTTGGATGTTTCGTTGCAAACACAAACTAAATCGTATGATTAGGGCCAAACAAACCATGTATATTTGTCGCTAGTTGTCCTATGTCCAAACTCCCCGATTGAACATGCAACACTTTGTAAGGTGAGAAAATTTGCACTCATAGCATGAGGAGAACGTGTGAAAGACAACAATCAACCTATGCTCTAGCTAGATGCAGGAGTGCAGGCAGACAACTAAGATGTGCATGTGGTTGTCGGTCATCATGTCATTGGTTTGGTGTGTATGTGGTTGTCAGCCATCATGCCGTTGGTTTGTTGCAGATTTTGGTTACCTCACCGTGCAGGGGAGGTGCTGCCGAAATTTACAATTGGCACTATTATATTCGTTTGTTGCAGGAGAGACTATTACAAAGATCATTCCCCACCGTCCTCGACTCATCACTTTGCAGGACAGCAAGGTGAGGCATCATACACCCCTCTTTCCGTATGATGTTCGTATATCACGTAGCCTAGCTAGGCGTCTCCTGTTCTAAAGAGACGCCGTTGGAAATATGCAGATCTTTGCATATCTATAACCGTATCTGTTTCGAATTGTCCACGTTTTTTGGACAGTCTGAGGATGTGTAGATGGGGTTAGTTCCATGCTCTACTCTGATCCGAGACAGAGTTTCGGTAGCATCTCCCTATTGTTCTCCGGATACACAATCTCCCTGCCAGGACGTGTATTTAGAGAACAACGGGGAGATGCTGCCGAAATTCTATCTCGATAGGAGTAGAGCATGTAAACTAACCACATCTACACATCCTTAGGTGGGATTAGGACCTATCTTTACCTATTAGACCACCACGTAGGAACCTGTAGATGCAATTGATTTTTATATTACTTGCTGATATGTTAGAGGATGGATGACCGTGAGTGGATGTACACGGGCCGCTCTAGTCAAGGTTCGTTCACCGATGAATGGATTGAGAAGACCGATGCTTTCTTAGAACTAGCATTTGCAAGGGTTAAAGGAGCGCATGCCACTTGGTGGCCCCGCAAAGATTTTTGCAAACACGCGTCGACAAACAAAGGTGGTCATGGGTAAACATCTTTGCAAGAATGGATTTACGGCGGACTATACCCGGTGGATCTACCATGGTGAATCCGATCATGTGAGAGACGAGGTCATGAGACAACGCATCGAGGATTATGATGCCGATGCTGGGGTAGGAGACATGTTAAATGACTATCATGAAGCACACTTTGTTGAAGGACGTAGGGAGGAGGAGCCAGAGGCAACCGTAAAGGCGTACTACTATATGTTGTCTCGCGACACAAAGAACCCCCTTCACGGGCATACCAAGGTTTCTCAATTGGATGCCATTGCACGCCTAATGGCTATAAAGTCTAAATTTAGCTTGAGTCAAGAAGCCTTCGATGTTGTCTTGTGACAGCTTTTGGTAGATCGCTCCCGATGGTCACATCCTCCTTAAAGAGCATGTATGAGGCATAGAAACTCCTTCGTGCACTTATGATGTCATATGAGAAGATACATGCTTGTCCGAAGGGATGCATCTTATTTAGGAAAGAACATGCGGAAGCAAAATACTGTGTGAAGTGTAAATCCTCTAGGTTCCTGGAGGTAGACTCTGGTGATGGTCAGAAGAGGCAGCTCGCTATCCCCGTGAAGATCCTATGGTACCTTCCATTCATACCAAGGATCCACTAGCTTTATATGATTAAGGAATCCACAAAACAGATGACATGGCACAAATCCTGACGTCGATACAATCCTGAGAAGCTAGTGCATCCATCCGATGGTGAAGCATGGACAGGGTTTGATATGATTCATCGGGAGAGAGCTCTAGAGGCTCATAATGTGCGTGTTGCACTGGCAAAAGGTGGGTTCAATCCTTATGGAATGGTGGCTGCCTCATACACTTGTTGGCC